GGGGGGGGGGGCCCTGGGAACCTGCATCCCAACAAGCCCTCCAGGTGGTTCTGACACACACTCAGGTTTGAGAGCCCCTGCACACTATACTTCTTGCAATTTCCTAAAGATAAAATACTCTCTCATCCAACTCATCCCTTTGGATTAGTTCAATGTCCCTTCTCTATGAAGCCTTGTTGAACTCCCCAGTCTGTTGACAGCTCCCTTCTCTGGGTCCCCTTATTACGCCCCCATCATAGTCTTTGTCAGGCTGCCTTGTACTTGTCCCCAGCACTGGGCTACCTAAGGCTGGGAGAGCATCTCATTCATTTCTACAGCTCCAGCACCTAGAATATAGCAGGCACTCAAAAACTGCTCCTCGAATGAACAAATAAGTGAATCATCAAAGCCAGGGTACAGAGTGAGGGGTGGAGGGATGAAGGGGGAAGAGGGAGGGATGCAGAACTAACCTCCCAGGACTGTTCCAGAGGTTTGTTCACCCTGGAGCTGATCAAGTTTACTTTGACCACCTCCTCCCAGGCCTTCTTAGAATGGCATTAGCTTCTGAGGGTACACAGACAAGTTTGTGGTGTGTGTGGGTCAGGGGTCAGGGGCGGGGGGTGCTGTTTCCCTGGGCATAGCATGTGGGACTCATGTGAGCCTTCTACCCTGGACCTCCCCTCACTTTGGGGAGGTGCCCTGCTTTCCCAGGGGTTTCAGAAAATAATCTTGTCCTGCCCATAATCTGAAGAGAGGCAGCCCATGCCAGGTAGCACTGCCTGCCCCCATCCCCAACCCCAGCCCTTGTACCTCACTCTTAGCAGGGGACTCAGGCGTGCTTGGCTTCCGGATAGCCACAGGTGGAGGCAGGGGGCTGCTGGCCAGGGTTGCAATCACCTGGCCCTGGGCGTTCAACAGCAGCTGGGGGGTCACAGCCTGGACCTGCAGGCTTTGGGCTGGTGCTGGTGCTGCCACACTAGCCGAGTTCACTACCCACGGAAGCGTTCCAATAACCTGGGAGGAAATAAAGCAGGGACTCTAAGTGTGAGGGCAGTGTCCAGCTCCACCTCCAACCCAAATCCCCACACTGGCAGGGGAAGGGACTTAGATGAATCACTTAGCCCGTTGGCCTCAGTTTCCACCTCAATAAGGTGAAGGATTCACAGTCTGGGGGCTGCTTCCTCTATTCTATCTCTAGAACTGCGATGGAGCAGGAACGGGTCTGCATGTGGAGGTATACAGACCTGGATGTGAACCCCTGCTCTGCTACAGTTTAGCTGTGTGGTTTAATTTTGCTGAACCTCAGCCTTCTTCCCTGTAAAATGGGAATAAAAATCTCTACCTAATAGATCTATACTCAAAACAAAGCAAGATGATGTGAGAGAAGGCACCCAGCACAGACTCTGGCCACAAATAAAGTGGGTGTTCACCTCAACTAGACTGGGTGCCTTGAGGGCAAGGCAGTGGCTATGCCCTTGCCTGGTCTCAGGATCAGCAGAGAGCTGCCACACAGGAGATATGAACAGCAGTCTGACACCCTGTTTGAGTTTCTATGACCCTCAGCCCAAGTCCTGGTCCCCCCACCAGCTTCTCCACAGCCCCCATTCCTCAGCCCTGGCTTTAACCACTTGCCTGTCCCTGAGCATTGGTGAGGATCTGACTGCTGATCCCTGGCATGCTGGGAATGGCGTTGGCAATGACCGGAGTTGTAGTGAGGGAGCCCAGGATCTGGGTTTGTCCCCCGAGGGAAGCAGCACTGATCTGTGGGTGGAGGAAGAGCCTTGCTCAGAGGCTGAGGGGACAGAAAGAGCCCAAGGCAGGGGGAAGAGGGCTCAAGGCATTGGGGTGGGGAGGTAGGGATATGGGGCAGATATGAATGTGGGCTGCAGGCCCATGTCTACCAGCTGAATAGTATCCAGGGCTAGGGGTGCCAGGGGGTTAGCCAGGAAGGGTGAGGTCAAAGCCATGGAAGAGTAACTCTGGCTAATCTTTCAGGCCAGGCCTGGGAGGGCAGAAGTGCCAGACTGGAGCGGCTGATGTGATTCTAGTCACATCTAACAGCTCCACTGCTAAGCCAGGAGCCACACTGGACAAACGCTGGCATGGGGCTGTGAGCCTCTAGCTCCACCTTAGCGACAGCTCACAAATTTGCAATCCCCAGATATCATCCCACCCTCCAAGGCTGGTCCAGTCGTTCATGTTCTTGGCAGAGGTTGTCTGCTTGTATCTGGGATGGACAGGCTGGCAACTGCAAGGAGAAGGCTTCAGAGGGAGCCCATCTCTGCTGATGTGCTGTAAAACAGCTGTATCCTCAGGGGGCCGGTCCTCCACCTCCTTCCTCCCTGTCAGTTCCACCCTTGGCCCAAGATTAGATCCATCCCTGGTCAGCCCTGGGTGAGGGCGGCAGCAGCTTACGATTCCTGGGCTAAATGCGAAGCCTGCAGGCTGGATGGTGATCTGCGGGGGGGTGTCCACTGGCTTGGGGGTGGGGGCAGTAGCGGTGGCAGCAGTGGGCTGCGGTAGGATTGCAGGCGTGGTCTGCAGCATCGGCGGGGTCTGGAACAGCGTCTGGGGCTGAGCTGGTGGCCGGGGCTGGGCGGGCGAGGAGGCCTGTACCGGTGGGGCAGCTTGTACGGGTGCCGGGAGAGCGGTGTTCAGCACGGCCGCTGCTATGGAGCAAGGCAGAGACAGAGGTGCTCAAACGCCTAGCAGCAGCCCAGAGCAGCTCCAATCCCAAGGGATCTGGCACAAGAACGAGAGGGGCTGGGGC